CGCGGCCTGCAACTGGAAGGTCATATGCCGGGGTCTCCTCGCCAATGAGCTCGGCCAATGTGCGGTCATCTTCGTCATCCGGAGGTGTCGGTTCCGGTGCTTGCGGCCGAAGGTAAACAGGAGGTTCGCCACCGAAAGGTGTAGCAAGCACGGCTGTCCTCCCACCCCGCTGCCTCTTGGGATTGCGCACCCGGAAGGTGGTCGGAAAAGCTTCTTGCGCGGTGTTCACGGCCTCTTGCTCCACATAGGCCTGCTGAACAATGACATCAAAGAGCCACCTCTCACGTTGCTCTCCCGCCGTGTTGCCGTCGGCCTTGGCTTCTGCAACAAGAAGCGAGGTTCGGGCAAGAAAACGCCCAGTTCCCAGCTTGATCTCCAGGAGCATCAGAGTGCCTTCTTGCACCATCTTCCTTGTTGCTGCAAGCTGGGGCTCGTCGATCACGTTCTGGTGCAAGGGAAGATACCACAAAACGTGGCGGCAACGCTTGACCTGGCTCGCCATCACACGGTCGACAAAGGAGAGGTACTTCTCGAAATTCTCCTTGACGGTTGCGGCCGAGAGGTGCTTCTCATTCCCCGGCTCAATCACATAGCTTGGGTGGCCCAGCACGGTCACATAGGGGTCCTCAACCCTCAGGTCGTTGCACGCGACTTTCCTGCCATCGGACGTTAGGGCCGACCAAGCGCAAACTTCGTACCCAAGCGGAACTCCAACAGCCATGCCCGCCATGACGCACAACATGGTGAGCGAAACCTGGGCCGTGAATATTTGCTTCAGCCAGGTCTTGCCGTACGGGGGAACGCGGCTGACTTTGTTGTTGCCAGACAGGACCCGGCGGCAATCGAAGTCATCGCCGTCGACTGCCGCAGAAAAGGCTGTAAACTTCTTCTCCTTCTTGTTGCTGGCCTTTCGCTTCAAGGAAGGGTTCTCGGCGAGCACGGTCTCGAAGAAGTGAACATCCTCACTCACGTCCCCGTCTGGAAGGGCTGGTGCTTGCCCTTCGCCCGAGCCGGTTGCCGCAGCATCCCACTCAACAACGTCCTGCTTCATAACCTCAAGCTGCTGGAGGTGATCCTGCCAATCATCTGGATTCCACCCTTCGGGCACCTCGTAGTCCTCGCTGTAGCCCCGGAGAATCTCATCAACTTCCCCCTGGGTCAGCGGCTCTCCTTTCTGCGGTGCCGGCTCGGCATGGTACGAGGTCTCACCAAGGAACTGGCTAAGGTTGTCGAGGTTGAAGTCAAGGATGTTGACCGCAAGGTGGCCGCGGCTTGTCTTGGTGAGGGGAAGCCCTTTTACGCCCAGGGTGGTGAAGTCGACGGTCTTGTTGCGAAGGTCCAGCACCGTTCCCAGCTCCTCCATGAAAGGGCGTGAGAGCAAAAGCGGCACCGGACCGTGTGTCTCCGAACTCTGCATTTCTCCATGGGCCTTGGCTAGGCCAATGGGGTAGATCTTGGCGATCTCGCTGGTGATCTGGCCGCCGACTCCCTTGAAAACCTGCTTGTGGGCTTTGGTCTTGTACGGCAGGCCAAGACGCTCTAGCTCCTTTTCGAACGCCTGTGCCCAATGGGTGCCGTGCATCGTCTTGGTGCACCCGGAGTCGAGTATGGCAAGGCCCGGGGGATCATCTTCGCTCGTCACATAGGCGAACGGCACAACGCACTCGCCCTCAGACTCCTCCTTCTCCTCGTCGGCAGCGGTCACCATCATCACGTCGCAGTCCTGCTCGGTAACCACGTCCAGGCGCTGAGGATCCATCGCCACGGGCACCCGGATCTGTCGCCTTGTGACCATGCTGTCCGGGTCTATCGCGCGCTTGCTTGCTGAAGAATCTGCTCCTTCTCGGTGCGCCCTCTCGACCGACTGCTTCACGAGCTGGAGGCGGCCGTACAGGTAGAAGGCAAACCGGTAAACCTCGGGCTGCATTGGCTGATTCGAGAGCGCATGGTTTAGGACCTGGGCGCAGAACCACGCCGAGTCCGACGAAGAAGCAGCATCCTCAAAGGAGCGCCCGGCATACGGTGTCAGGTGGCCGAGCAAGTGCGCATCGGACGGCAAAGGCTGCAATATGTCCTGGTCCTCCTCAGCAAGCGTGGGAAACGGCGGCAAGGGCTCGCTTGGGGAAACGCACTCCGAATATATCCATGCTCTGACCTCTTGCCGCTCTGCCCGAATAATCCTTGCCACCGGCCTCGGCGGGGACACAACGCTCCACTCATGAAGCGCCGGGTTGTAAGGCGGCTCGGGCTGATCTTGTAGTGGATGAGGTCCGACGTAACCGACACCGCTTGCGCGCTCACGCGCTTCTTCCCTCGCCTTGTCCTCCTCAAGCTTCTTGGCCATGAAGTAGTCCTTGGCCTCACAGCACATAGCGTAGGTTGTTCTTGCTCTTGCTCTGCGGCCCCAAGCGGTGGTCAGCGCCACCTGGACAAGGTAACTCCACAGCTCCCGGGGCTCCTTCCTCGAAGCAGAAATCACGGCTCTGTTGCAGGCGTCGTCCTTGCACATAATCTGGCGGCTGTGGCCGTTGGCCGACCCCATGAATTTCTTTTCTTCGCCACCCCGGTAGGTGCTGTGCTCGCAGAGGTTGGTGTCGCGGAGGACCATGTAGGACTCGTGCTGGTAGTCGCTCTCCTCAAGGCCCCCGTGGAGAACGAAGAAGTTCGTGGCCGCCTTCTTCTTTGGCTGTCCTTTGCGCTTTGGCGAGGTCGCTCCCTTGCCCCCTTTTCTCTTGTTGGGGCATTCGTCGTCACCCTGCCAGTGGCCTCGCTGGCCGCAGCTTGTGCAGGGCGTCACCGTCTTGAGGAACTTCACAGCGTTCTTGCGCGTCTCCTTGGCACGCTGGTCAAAGGACATCTCTCCCTTGGCCCGGAACGGAAAACTCTGCGCTGGCTGCCCTTTCTGGCTTGTCGCTGGCTGCTTCTTCTTCTGCATAATAGTGGCCAGTGCTTCCGCAAGGTCCGGGTCCTCGGTGACGTCATAGTCCTGAAGCATAGCGTCCAAGATTTCGTCGCCCGCGTAATCGGGGGACTCGGGGGAATCGCCCTCGGCAGCCGGGTCTTCCTCCTCATAGAAGGCCTGGTTCTCATAGTTCTGGTCGTCTTCATCCTCAGCCTCGGTGGCATATACCTGCGGTTTGCCCTTCCCCTTGTTCACCCTCGAAGGAAAAGGCTTTGCTCTGGTCTTCCCGAACATCTCGCGAGGTAGGTGCGGCTGCCTTCCGCAGCCCAGGTAGTCACGCCGAATCACGGGTCGGCCGGTGCAGTTCGGGTACTGAATCTGCAGGGCATGCGATATTTTCTTGAAGTCGTACTCGTTGTTCACCGAGCTGAGCACATTCAACTGCTCCTTCTGGTCCAGCCCACCAAAAGCCAGGAGCATCATAGCACGGATGTGCTCGGGGATCACCGTGCCAACACCCGTCAGGACTTCTTCGAGGCGCTTGAAATCCTGCTCTCTCCGGATAATATACTGCTGCATGCTCTCTGTGGGAAGCCTCCAAACGTTCGGGCTATAGAAGGCGGTGAAGAACAGCTCGTTGGTCTTGACCGGGGCTTCCTGGGCGATGTGCTCCTTGAGAGTAGAAAGCAACAGCAGCATGCCCTTGAGTGTGGCCTCGCCGCTCTCGGTCTTCGTCTTCAAATCTGCATGGTTGAGCTTGCGGACCGACTCATAGGCAGGTCCGGAAAGACCTGACCGCAAATGCACTGGCGTTGCGACCTGAGTCTGGGGATTACCTTCTCTCCCATGGAAAAGATCCCAGGCTCTTTCCACATACTCCTCAAAGGCATCGGGGTCGCCAGCATATTGCGGTACACCATATCTGTCTGTATCAATCCTGGAGGCAGCCATGGTTGGGTGAAGAAACAGCCTCCAAGAATAACCCAGAAAAACAGAAGTGCCGGCACAAAGGCGGGCACGAGCAAGTAGAAGCGGTTGCTGGCAGCACCAAGGCGAAACCAGCAGAAGCGTAGGGCTCGAAGCCTAGCAGCAGAAAAGCGGCTAGGGCAGGCGCCGGACCACGCCGGCTCCGCCTACCATCAAAGTGCACGCAGCGGTGTGCGGGCACTGAGGCAGCTAACTTTTTCCCTAAAGGGCGCCCTGGCGGTGAGCCGTGTGCCATGCGAAGTCGGGCTTCTGCAAGGCTTCCAGACAAACAAGCCTGCTGTACACAGGTGCATTTTCATATGACATGTCACATCTGAAGTGGGTTCCCAGCCTGCAAAGCAAGGGCACAGCTATATATCAGACGACCTAAAGGCCTAACATGCGTAAAATCAGTCAGCTGGTTCCCCACTTCAGTTCATGAAGGACTGTCGGGGGTGTTTGGGGTACGTTCTGGGGGACCTCGGCCCTGAAAGGGAACAAGGTAACAGCTACCGCACAGCTACCATCACTTGCTGACTTCCCCCAGTTTTGCATCAATCGGCCCAGCCTCGTTCAGGAAAAAAGACACCAAAAACCACACACCAGCTAGGAAGAAACAACAAGGATTCCACTCGAGGCTGGCCCGTTGCTCACATTCGTAGTGCTGTGCGCGGGCAGAGAGTCGCTACATGACAAGAGGCTGAACAAAACGACTGGAAGCACTGAATCACAGAACCTGAGAGGGCTCTAGGACGACTACTCATCTGCCATCGTAAGACATCTTCCTTCGGACGTAAGAGGCGTGTCAGGCCCCTCGGCCAAAGTGGCCCCTCATTTTCTGGGGCTTTCGAGGGGTGTTGAGGGTGATACACAGCTCCCTCTCTCTCTCTCTCTCTATTTCTTCCTTCGGGCGCCCCTTACTCTCTCTCGCCGACTCAGTCAACTGTCAGCCGCGACACAAAACCCAGCGATTTCGCTATGTGCGCGTATCTAAATGAAATGAAATGCGGGAAGCGGGGCTTCCGAAACAATTACAAGGACTTCACATGCATCGCCCACGCATCCGTCTACCTAACCCATGCTCCTTCACAACAAATCCGACAGGAATCGACTAAAACTGTTTCCAAGACACGTGAGGTGAGGAGGCCCGCCGCCGCGGCTGATCGTGCCGCCACGGCCGTGGAAGAATGTGACCTCCACTCCATGCCTTGTTTCCGGATGGACGCGTCCCTGAGAGTCCAAGATGGCTTGGCTCATGGCTTGGGCGCTGGCTTCTGGCCGACTTCCACCAGCTTCTCCATGGCGACCTTACCGAAACTGGAGACCGCAAGCTGCACCCCCCAAGTGGAGATGATGCAGCCAGGGCTGAGGCATGTAGGGCCCAGGTGGACGCGAATTTCCCAGCATCCTGGCTTGAGACGTCGCAAACCCTTGTCTGGAGCTATTCCGCAAAAAGCGCTGGATGCGACAATCACGGCCCCCCTCCAAGCCTCAAACAAAGAACAGTTTACAGGTGTGAAGGATCAGAAACGAGCCACACAAGTGCCTTCACCGAGTCGGAGTAGCCCAGCATGACCTTCCGCAGACCGTCCCGTCACTTGTGGAATGAGAAATCGGCCCAGCATGCAACTCCAAACCAAGCCTCATGAACATAGCTCGTGTTGCTCAAACTTTCTGCACAGCTTCACGACACCATGCTTGGTCTACCGTCGAACACCCCCACCTCCTGCTTGCCGTTAACGTGGTCCCTCGGCTGAGTCACGATGTTGGAAGCAAAGGAGCTTTGGCACCAGTGGGCGACCGCGAAGCACCGCCCACAGGCTACTCAATCGTGCTACTCCCATTGCACAAGTTGACGAGGTGCTTGTACCAAGGAATGCCCAAGAGTGAATCGATCACACGAGGTGCTGCCTGCAGGTCCTCCCTGGTCTCGAACCTCGCTTGGGGTGCAGGACAACAACAGTTAAGTTCGCACTCGTTCGTTCTTGCCCTAGCTGTTCGACGTTTCCCCAATTTCTCGCTTGATGCTTGGTCGATCGACCGAAACATTTGCCCTGTGTGTTAGCTGTGATTCCAGCGTTCCTTCGAAAAAGTAACCTGCACCTCATGCCAAGAAACCCACACGTCCCTGCCGCCAAGCTGAAGGAGTTACATGGATCTGATGTGAACACATGCAGAGCACAGGTCCCCTTAGCCACAAAGTGAGATCAAGACCTGTGGTGGCCAGCAGTTGAAAGAAAGCTGCTCAGTTCAGTGGGTCAAAAGTTGGCAGCCAGTCACAAGGGGCTGATGCGCATGAACTGCTTCACGCCGCCGATCTTCTGCCTGTGCTGGCCAGCTGTGCTGCTCATCTGGCGGCACCACAGACAATGCAACCTACGAGGCCATCTACCAACTCTGGCAACCCAGCTGCAGCAAGCAAACCGCCAATATGTCTGAGGTGGCGCGAGACATCCTGAGTTGAGACAGAGGCTCACGGCTCCGCACATGCAGGGCAGCTCCAGCTTGCCATGAGATTCTCGGCCTGCAGCTGTGCCGCGAAATGCAATAGGCACCTACAGTCTCTGGAGGAAGGTCTGCGATCGTGCGGAACCTGACGCCAAGCACGGGTCAAAAGGAATGTCACCTCAGGCCTCACAATACAACACCAACTCATACATGAACAAGATTGCAGCGATTTCAGCACACGCCATGGAACGTCTCAATGACTTCCTGGACAATGTCGCCCATTGGCATGTCTGGTGACCTTAAGATTTGCAGTCGCCGGTGGACGAGGTAGGAGAGAGGCGGCAACGGTTTCTGGGCGACCCCTCCATCTACAACTCAATAGGAGGGGGGCACAAGCTGCTAACGCACGAAGAATGCAAACAAAAACAGTTCTGCAAATTAACTTCAAGATGCACTGCTACCGGCTGAGCTGACAAGAGGCAGGAGAGGACGCCGGGACTGGATCTCGTCGAGAAGCCAATCACACTTCGCCTGCTCCGTCCAAGACGAGTAGGACCTAGCAGCTAGCAGCTAGCAGTTTCAAGGACTGTGCAGCCAGATCCTACACAGACCATACTTGCACGAAGCGAAACTTGTGCAGTCTGTCTGATCCCGAAGTATTGCTGAATTCTGTTTCTCGCCCAGTCTTGTTTACAAAACTGCCAAATGTGCATCCGAAGATCCCCAGCCCCAGGTATTGGGTGATGGCGTTCATGACCTCCTCGTGCCTGCGCATTGTCAATTGTGTCTGCATCAGCCAGGCCAAGCAACAAAGAAACCTGTTCAACCGGGTCCGGTGCATCTGAAGTCTCAAGAATCGCAAGCATGGGTGATGTGGCTTGCAACCGATGGCTGTGGCCGCTAGGCATGGAAGCCTGCTCGCCTACTCCACCAGTCGTATTTCACAGCCCTTAGGGCGCGGCCTGTCGGACTCCTGTCGAATGTCCAGACAAGCCAGGCTGACGCCGAAGGTGCGGACTCTGCGGATTAGATCCAACAGGCGACCATTTGCCAAGACCTCACGGGAGAGCGCTTGCCATGCCCTGCTCCTGGGATTGCAGCAACCTCTGGCCGTGAATAGATCAGCGACATCAACAGTCTCCTATTTCTCCGGAACTCTGGGCCTATGATGGCGACGCACCGAAGCGCGATGCCCAGGTTCGGCACGACTTCGATGCGAGTCTTTGGGACTTCTGGGTTTAGATCTCTCACACGCCTGCAGCACGCCAAGACAGAAGCTGAGGCTGCCTGGCCTCATCGCCCGTGGTCACTAAGGATCGGTAAACAATCTCCAGAGGCCGTGCGAGTTCTGTGGTGCCTTTGCATCAGCCACACGACGTCGGGCATTTCACGAACATTATCACCGCAGGCTAGGACAAACAAAACGCACGATAGACAACATCAGCAATAAGTAAGTAATTCCCCAAACTGCAATCGTGTGGCTCTTGTATATCTCTGATTCGAAGTCCTTGTCCACTGGCTTGCCCAGGTAGAGGCTCTCCATGGATTTCTTCGTGCGGAAGAGCCGGCGGCGAACGCTCATGAGCACCCTGTTGCTGCTTGGGACATGGGAAGCTCCGTGCATCTCTCTTGGAGCTCATGAAAACACCCAGCCACCAAAACCCATGAGCCCAGGGACCGGCGGTAAGGCTCGTCGGGAGCAACGCCATTCTGGAAGTTGAAGTGGACACCGCAGCGAGTGTCTGGAACGCAGACCTGGCAACCAAAGAGGTGGTGTATTGGGCTAACTTGCTTTGGCATTTACCGGCTGTCCCTGTCCTTGGAGTTTCGCCGGAAACCTAGGACCTAGGACCGAGGAGTTGACTCTATGTTTTTCATCCGGAAGCCTTACCCTTACAGGGTAGCCCAAAAATTGGGGGGAACCGTTGCTTCTGGAGTGGCTCTTGACAAAGGGAAATCATTGGAAGGCATCATGAAGCACCGCTGGACGATTCACACTCCAACCTTGGTCGAGAAGTCCGGCAACCATAGGCTGGAGCACATGGGAGCAAGGGGGGATTTCCACAGCGACATGTCGGAACCAAACCTCCCCAACCCCAAGACGGCAGCCGCCGGCAGCCCTAGCTTTCCAGCACAAGACCAGGGAGGATTCAAAACGCAAGGCGTGAGTGCAAGGTGTGGCCGTAGCTGCTGTCGTGACTAGTGCTGCTAGTGACTGCCAGTGACTGCTAGTGGTACTGCAATGGTACTGGTAGTAGTTGTTGCTGGAGTAGCAAACATACAGTTACTCTTGCTACTATTATTCTGCCATTGCCGTAGCATCATTGGGGCTGTGGTTACAACTTGTAGCATTGTGATGGTGCCACTAACCTTTGGGGGTCATAAGCTGTGAGCTGTGTCAATGATCTTCTGTTCATCCCCTCGGCCTTGTCACCGTCGGAAGTGGGAGCCGGCCACATGCTTGCCAAACTCTTCAACTCCTGTTGCAGCTCCTGGTGCATCCCACACGACTGCGGCTGTTTCATTGACATCTCTGCCGGGCAGAGAACGTACACGGTGCAAAAGCACTGTCAATGCGTGGTGGTGACCAGTAAATGCTAGTAGCGACGGCGCCTCACTGGTGGCACCCGTCATTGACAAGTCGAAAAGCAAGGCATCGACCTGCACTCGCGGAAAGACTCTTACCACGTCTGGCTCGCTGGGCCATGCATGCATCTGGAGGCTTTCTGCCCGGCCTCAGTGTAATAGAGTTCGGCGATGCGCCACCGCAGAAGAGCATTGACTCGACGAGTCGTATAGGCCTGAATCGCACTCGCCAAGTACTTCAACTCTTGATGGTTTGAGCGAAAGATATGAAAGGGCTCCGTTGACAGACGCCGGAACATGACAAACCCGTGGCATCAAATTCAAGACCCCAAAAGGTTCACAGAATCATAGTGCCAGAACAATAGAACGGTAAAAAGCTTTGGCCAAGATGCATGCAGAAGCAATTCATGATGTTGTGCATTCTCGAACGGCATGCAAGCCATGAAACGCGTATGCCAGAAGCCCTCCAAAACAACTCGAAGAGCTTCAGCAGCACTCAAAACGTGATCCTAGAACAATTCAACAGCATACGCGGAGTAAGCGTGGAAACTGTCATCCTCCATTGTTCATCTTGCGACACGCCCGAAAAATGGTTAGCTCATTTTGCGATGATGAGCTACAGCTACATCACGTGTTTACGAAGGATGCGACAATTTTCTGCCCCTACACTGCAACCCTCTGCCTGGACGTTGTGTCGGGTCAACTTCTACAGTCAAAACCACCTAATTTTCCTGAACAGGGGAATCGGCCTATTGAATGCTCCTTTGGGACCATTGCTGTTGCCGTTGCGATTGGCCATTATCAAGACGATGCTACTACACACTTCCCGTTTACTTGTACAAGTATCTACAAATCCTATCCGTGGTTGGCGGCATGGAGTGGGAGCGACTTCCGGCATTGCAGATCTAGTGGCAAGATCAAGCATACCAATACCAATGAAAGGGCATCAAGCTGCCATCAACGCTGGGAACAGGTACAGGAGCATGCATGTCCTTATGCTGCAAAGGGCCGTGACATTGGGGTTGCCATCCCGATCGCCACCCATCCAAGTACTCATCTTGATGACCTTCGGGGACGCCGTTTTCAAGACACATCAAGACACGTCCATCTTGCGACCATCTCCCTGCACTCCGTCTGAGCCAAAGGGCCGAGGCATCGTAGGGAAGCGCTGGCATCCCACGGTGCTTCAAGCAGCGGTCGATACGTCGGTAATGCTCCGGAACTGCCGTCCAGACCGCATCCTTGCGAAACTGGGTCTAGGGAGGCTTCCACGAAATACTATTCGGAGTCCTCGATCACCAGCATTCCATTGCGTGCTTCACCTCAGTACACGCGGCGCGAAAACATCCTTACTCCGAGAACCCCGAAACTCGATTGGCGTATGGGTCTGAATTCTTCTGGGACCTTCTGCAGTGGGCCGGTTGCGCCGGACTGCGTTGGTGCGCCAGCAGCTCCACTGAAGAGCCTGCAGCAGCAATCAGGGTGCAGCGCGGTTCCGGGCTAATTCTGACGGTTCCGCCTGGATCTTGGCCCGCAGCTCTTCTTGCTCGCCGGGCGTGAGGGAGTCCTTGGCATCGTGCACCTGGCACCAAAACGAGCCCGAGAGTCGCGTCGCGAGCGATGCGAGCGCTCGGCGCCTTGAGAAGCTGCGAGATGCTCTCGTGCTTCTTCAGATTGCTCCGGCGCTGGGCCTAGCTGCGGCGGGCAGTGGCAGTGGCTCGTCTTCGCTTTTTGTTTTCCCCAGCGCCTGCGTCGGATGCGCTGTCAAGACGAGCTCGATCTTGTGGTTCACAAGAGCCTCCCGGTGTGCAACCGCAAGAGATCACACGAGAAGTTGCGGTAGCCAAAGTCACACTGCGAAACCTGCAGATCGCTACGAAGAAAGCTTGACGACGTGCGTCTCGCGGGGGTGTGCGAAGCTCGGTCAGGTCCAGCCAAGAACCAATCCGGACACGTTGAGAAAAAGGTACGGACACATGGGTAAACGCGAGTCACGAGTAATAGAAAGCCCTGTCAACAAGGCGAAAAGAGAATGTGTCTTCGCGCACGGAACTCAGTTCACAAACATGGAGATTGCTTTTGAACAACCCGCCTCCCGGATCTGTTCATGGGTGATGCCCTCTGCCTCAAAAACTCTTGGCCACCCCCCCGGCAATGAACGCGGCGCAGGAGGTTTTGTTTGTCTGTTGAACAGACAAGGCACGGTCATCTTGTTAAAACAGCCGCGAAAAGTCTTGATCGCGGTGTCGCCCGGGTCCTGATACAAATAGCAGCGCGAGCAAACGCAAAGACAAAAAAACTGCAATCCTAAATTTAGGGTGCAGGGGTTCGTATAGGAGTTCATGAACTGTCGGGCACCTTGCGGCAATGTGTTCTAACGAGAGACGCCAGTGTTTCTCCAGGCATTCCCCTTCAAGCTCAACCCAAAATACCCGGCTTGAGGCTCCTGGAAGTCCATGGTCACGAAGCTTTTCAGGGCATGCTTGAACGCTCGCAGCCGTTGATGAGACTCTGCAAGGTTCGCTTGGACCAAGATCTCCTCGTACAGATTCCATGATCCATACCCCGCCCATGCCGCACAAGAGCAACTTCAACACTCACGACATGACGTGAGCCAGGAAGGTTATACACTCGCAATGCACCCACAAGGCGAGTTTGTGTGTTCACTTCCTGGGCCTCTTGACATGTTGACATTCCTGCACTAAAGACATATGCAACACAGAGAGAGGGAGCACACAGACATGCACAAATCATGAGCCACAGTTTCCAGCAACTGCTGGAGAAATCCAGAGTGGAACACCCTCCCCCCCCCCCGGGTCCATCAGAACCCTCGCCGACACCAACCTGAGCTGAAGATGCGCAGCTTACAGCATCCGATGGCATCACTTGCTGCCCTTCTTGTGCCTCGATCGAATGTACTGGCTACGATGATTGCCACTCGTCGAGATCACCGAGCGGCAGAGAGGTTGCATCCATCTGCTCGGCCAAAGTCACCATCTTCGAAAATCGCTCCTGGGCGCCGAAGGAAGAATGCCGGCTGGAAGAGAAGAACAACAGTGAGCCGGCGTGCCTCAAACTCTATACCATGTGATGCCCCGCATTATGCTGCCAGGTTTCTTTACCTGGATTCGCATTGTACTCCTGCGGATGCCCCCCGACCATCCGCCAATAACACAGAATCGGTTGTCTTGTCCTCAAATCTGCCCAGACCCTGCCCTGGCTCCTGGACCTGCTCCAGTAGGGATATGGCCATGGGTGGAAGGGCTGCTGGCCCCTGTGCCAAGCACGACAGTGTGGAGCGTTGAAACTGAAAAACTCAACCTGTCCCACCCGCCCAACCTCGACCAGGCAGTGGTCTTGAGCGGTCTCACCTGCATTCTCTTTGTCATGTACAGGGAACGCTAACCTCAGTTATGTGCTTCCTCCTGCCGGGTTGCCACAAACTGACGGATGTTCATCGCTCGAGACCCCCTTGGCGCGGTTCGCCTAGCTGCTAAGGGCATGCAGCCAAGCCGACGTGCCCCGTTCGACTGTTCGACTGGCCTTGATCACGTCCAGGAGCTGCGACCTGAGAAGGTCGAAGTCCTTAGCCATCGCCTGGAAAGCCATGATAAGGACCTCGCAGAACGCACTCTCAGCAAGGCAACAGAGAACATCAGAGAACATGTCAGCCTTGATCTCAGCCAGCGGCGCTTCAGACACTTCAACACTAAGATGCCTCTCTGGCGGTCGGTGGCCGAAACGGCTCTGTGGTCTGTGCAGTCGGGGTTCTGCAAGAAGCCGTCAGAACTGGAGCTGATGACCCGAGCAACGGCTGACAACAGCGCACTTGCCTAAATCAGCTGACCAACTTACACTGAGATGTTCACGAAACGAGTTGTGTCTATGAGGAACATTACGAGACGGGCGGGAGGCCTCCTTTGGAGCGTCATCCTCGGACCTTAGACACAGCATCTCGCTGTTTGCATCTCTGCTCTTTCCTCAAAGGTCGAAAAAGAGATACACTTGCACCACCTCGCTGTTTGCTGTAAGCAGACTCGTCGCTTGCTGCGCACCCTCCGGTTCCTTGACTGGGAATCCCTGAACCGTGGGTGAAATGCAGGGAGCTTTGCACGTTTTGTGCGGTGCGAATGAGATTCTCTGGAAATGCTCAAGTAGTGCTCAGCGCAGCGGAAAGCCGTCGCCCTCCTCACGAAGTCGAAGCAGTGCACAAGCTGTGAAAAGCTGTGCACAGTGGAATCCTCCGAGTCCGAGCCGTCCGGCTCCAGGGTGTGGGCGAGGTGCTGCACAACCCTCTTCTTCTCCTCACAACATGCCACAACCCAGAACATCTCCATGACATTTTGAAAGACTTTCCTCCAGCAGCGCCAGCTCACGCTGGAGAGCCTTTCATGAGACAGCAGAGGCAGAAAACAAGAAGTCGCCGCAGCCTGGCGGCCTTGCCTCGAGCGCGGCCGCACTCTTCGGCCCCCGACCGGCCGCCGCTGGGGCGGGAGCCTGGGCCGCCTGGGCCGCCTGGGCCCCGGCCCCGGCCGCAGCTGACCGGCTCGGGGGCTGGAAGCTGCCTTGGTAAACACACGGGATGCGAGGGAGCCGATGACCATGCCTCGCCGCTTAGCCAAGCAGCCAAGGGAGGCCACTCCCTGCGTGGCCGTCAGTGTGGCTTCCTGCAAGGCCTGGGTTGCGCTTTGAATGAAAAGCTCGCTGCTCTTGGTGTCCGTGAAGTTGCGTGGCTCAGTGCGAGCATCACAGCATGCAATAACATGTAGCATGCTGAGCAACACAGCACCAACAAGAAGAAGAGTAATATGTGAAGAAACTGGTACATACGTGAAAGCACTCATCTCAGACACTCACTTGATATGCACGTCGCGACATAGGAACTACACACTCATCTCCCAGAAGACACCGGAGTGCTTTGCGCCGACAGGTTGAGCCTGTGCACCTTTTAACACTCTCGAGATTGCCTGTATGAGCTATTTTTAGTCGTGACGAGTCCTGGACCAACCTTACAGCCCGTACGTAGGATTCAATTTCGGGTTCTGACATATCTGCGAGCCTGCAGTTTCTCGACTAGCGCGACCAGCTCTCCCGCAAAGGGGCCCTCTGACGGTCGTGCAACGCTCTCGGCCCAAGTCTACCGGCTTGTCACGGCCACTCTGCAGCTCTGACATGCTCTGCCTCCTGCAACTGAGTGGGAGTTGGCGCTGGATCCAGCGGGCTGGGACATGGGGCCTCAAGCCAGCTGACGAGATTTGAGCAAAAGAGGCTCTGCCGCTAACAAGAAGTATGCACTCTCTTACGCATTCACTCCAAGGACTTGGCCTGCACTACCGGCGCATCGGCCGTTCGAGGCTCCTCAGGGTCCACAGCTACCTGGCTGGCAAGCATCCAGCAGAAAATGCTTTGAGATGTCCTCGGGCCCGGTGCCTGGGTCACGTGTATCTTGGGACTCTTGGGATCCACAACTTTCGGGTTGATTTCTGGCTCGTCCTGCGTGTCCTCCTTGACAGCTGACAGGATCACCACTAAAGCCCCTATGGGCGATGCTGTGTTCCAGCGGCTCAAAAGGATGAGAGCTCCTCGGGCGCACTGGTTTCGGCATCTGCCTGCTGCGACAACCTGAGAGGCGAAGATTGGAAGCTGTCACGGGCCATGGCTCGCATTCACACCGGATTTCGGCCCAGACATCGCTTCAATACTGTTACAATCGCATGAACCTCAAAAAATGCTGCAAGCACTGCAAGCCTCTCGACCAGCTTCAGAAGACCTGCAGGCGGACCGCTGGCTGGTGAACGCAGGCTCATGGAATGCTCTTCAGAAGTTCCAATGCCACTGCGTGTCCAAAGGCTACGACACATGCCAGCCTCAGTGTATCTCCATCACCGAGCTGGTCGGACTTACACTTCTACAAATGTGCCGCAAGCTTGCGTAGCATGTCTTGTCAGCCTCTAGACACATGATTCAATTGGGCCTCGAGATTTTCAGTCTGCTGCGCACTCCGCCGTGCAGTTTGAGAGGCGAACGCGTCTCTCTTCTTTCTGAAATGCGTATAGGGGTCCGGCCAAGGACCATTTTAGAGTTTTGGGGGTTTCTGTCCGTGTCTTTGTGGTGCATCTGAATGGCCACACTGCGTGAGGCTTCATTATACCCGCCATTTTGGAGGGGCTTGAAACGCCGCATGCCGCATCACAAGACTATCAGCATGCACTGTGTCCCACCACGGCTCTGGACCCGAGGGCAGCACATCCGGGGAAAGGCACATGTCACCAGAACACCGCAACGAATCACCACTCTCACATGCGGGATGACGTTCTGCAGGACCGCTCGCATCCGCTCGCACGACGACGCGTGGACCAGTCGGGCCTCACCTTCCACTTCATGACGACCCTCCGACCCAACCCTCTCTTGTCTGCATAACGGCAAAACATTGAGGACACCTTGTTTCACTGCGACAACCCACCACCCGCCACCTGTCAAGCTTTGCACACCATGCCATGTTCACCGGCAATCTACCCATCCCGCCACATGCAAAGACTGCAACCATTCAGTGCCTCTGCCTACCAGAACACTTCGGCTGCATCTGCTTCCCAGGGAGACGGGAGGCGGGGAGCGATACACAAAAGCCAGCAGCCAGCGAGTAGACGAGGTGCAGCCGACTTTAGGGTTTACCTGAACCCACGAAACGCTACAATCACACAAAGGATTCGCGAAAATGGTGCTTTTGATTTTTGTTTTGAATGTAGGAAGTTTGTTTCGGGTAACTTGAAGCTTCGGTTTGGCATCGCCCTGAAAATGGTTATACGTTGGAGAACTACGAGAAGCACAGCCGGGATTAGTCTGCTCTGAAACTTCGTCACGACCAGCATTGTGTTGTCTGGACACATGGGGTCTTGCCTTCATGCTTTTCGCAGGCGGCATCCACGCATTCCAAGGCTACAGCGTCGTACGCATACCCGGCCGGATTTGAACACTAAAAGAAACTGGCTGTCCGACCTGCGATGGTCTGCTGCTTGGACTTCAGGTCAAGCTGTAGGCGCTTGTTCTTCCGCCTAAGAATGGCGACCTCGCGATACCTGCAGGCGACGGGCAGGAGCACATCCCTACCTACCTACCTGCTGCATCGGGCAGGGTGCTGCAAGTGCTCGTCGCTCTCCCGCGAAGTCGACTCGGTCTTGATAGACTTGCCTGGGCTAAAATTAGCTCCAAGCATCTACTCACGGGCGATTGGTGTGGCCCCACAGCCAAGTAGCTTTGGCTGTCGCGCAGAAGCTCCGAGATCGTTTCGTCCTTTCTCCTCGTGCTGCGCAGAGGGCGGGCAAAAAAGATCAGAAATCTGAAACAAACATGCAAAAACAGCATGAACTTACGCAATAAATGCGGCGAGGACCTGGCAAAGTGCCACGTGCCCATAAAACAAACATCTGCGCATGTTAGTTCTGCCTTGAAGACAGCACCAGAAACAACATGGAAGTACTGTCTGAGCGCGATACTTGACGATGTCTCGGAGCATGCTGTTCTCTTGCCGCAGCTGCTCGCAGAGCTGTTCCTGGTGGGCCCGTAAAGTGCAGCACGCCCACTCTTGCCACTTGCACAAACTCAACCTGTTTCTGGCCGTGTCCTGCAGCCTTAGCTTCTCCTGAAGGCCTTGTTCGCTGGACTTCCCCTGCAGTCGACTTCGCACGAATGCCCGAGCCTAGCCGACATCAGCCCTTCCATTCACCCCTTAATCTTTACATAATCGCGACTTCGAGCCGCGATCTGAATTGAAGTGTACACTCCACTCTTTGGCGACTCCAGCGCCTGCGGCGCTTTAGCCACCTCGCCACCTTGGTCGGCCACGAGGAAGCGTAGCCCATGAAGCCATGCCTCGAGATCCTCCTTGGAGGTGCCTGAGGATTGCCGAGACACGCTTTGAAGGCGACTTACGAGAAGGCAGATGCTAGGTTTGGTCTACACCTGCGATTGTCTGTTCCAGGGCACAGATCAACTCGATCTGTGCCGGCAGGGCCGAGCCTTTCTCCTGCAGAGCCAGTCGCAGAGCTGCTCTCGGAGAATTGACCAAGCAGACAGTACGACTCAGTTCATCACGGCCGAACTGTATCAGGCAGGTGAACTTAGGTCAAAACTCTCTCTGCTTCACAGAGAGGGTATCCGAGCTCCCCTTTAGTTGAGTTCACCGCCACGCTCGAGACCTCGGACTGACCGGGAATGAGGAGCCACTGTGTCCCGCAGTCCTGCCGCAGCTTGACCTGCAGCGCATGATGCCCCTCGCCTGATTGAATGGCCAGGGCGCAATGCTGCGACAGACGGATTGCGAGTTACTTTGAAGTGAAACACATCTTCATAAGGGGGTTTAATATGTTAAATCCAAGCAAATGGCCATTGGAGGCCCCAGGCAAGGACGAAAGGCTGGCGTCTTCCACGGCGACGATTTTGCTGAGCGGAATCTGCCTGTGCGGTCGTGAGCCTTTTAGTGATTTTAGTGCTGTACACAAGTATTTGGTGCTCCTTGCCCTGCTCTCAACCAAGCGGCCGGGAGGGACCGCTCCCTTCGCAGTCCCGCCAAGAGAGGAGCTGCAGGTCCTGCACACAACCGAACGGACGGGCGGATTGCTCGCGGTTGGGCTTTCTACGGCAACTGCGCAGGCCCTCCAAACTCCCGATTGCACAATTTGACAAAGCAAACTACCAATTACTGCACAAAAGCACAAGCTCCCGTCAGCGATTTGAACTGTTTCATCTCGGTGCTGGCGCGATTCGAATTTTCACAAGGGGCTCGACTGCTGCCCTTACTGCCCAGCTCGACCCGCAACACAGTACTCATCGCGATTCAAACACATCTTGAAATCAGCACTGGAGGCAAACACTCAAAACTAAAGCATAGCCATCTCCAGCCAAACTTCAGGACTAAAAGCAAACATCAAGCCAAACGTCCAGCGATGCTCCCACACACACATAGCTACTAACACCAAGTTGACCTCAGCAAGTCTAAGAACCTGAAGCAAGGACATGTCGATGTCGGCTGGCACACGAGACCCTGAACGGTGATCGGGTGCGGAGAGGGGGAAGGCCTGGTTCTGCGACCCCGCCCCGTCTGCACAACATCGAACAAAGGCAGGGACTGGAGGGGAAGGGAAAAGGGAGAGAGGAAGGGAAAAGGGAGAGAAAGGGAGAGGAGGGACCCAAGTCGACTCTGCAGCGTAAACCCTGTGCCCGTCCAAGGTTTGCCGTCAATTCACTGACTGCCTTCGTTGCTCCTTTTCTGCTTCGTTCCACGCTTCCTTCCTTCCTGTCTTGCTTCCTGGCTATATACATTGCTTCCTTCATTCCTTCCTTCCTCCTTTCCTTCTTCTTTCTTTGCGTCTTTCCTCCCGAGTCTTACGAGGTCCTCGGAACCTCTGCGACATACTTTCAGTTCTTAGCGAATTCAATCCTACGAACAGGCGGACCAATCCGAAAACCTTAAACAAACAACAGAGACGACAAATATTACACGGATGGACAAGTGCTGCTCGACTGAGGCCGGCGAGGCTACTTGGTCCTGGGAGATTTGGAAGGAGCAGATCTGAAGATCCAGATCTTGGCCCTGCGCCCCCTGAGTGCGGAGTAGCAACGGGGTGCCGGCCTGCAGAGAAACAGCGTGACAGGCTGAGGACTCGGATTCTGTAAACCACGGCCTGTAGCTTGCGTACGTGCCGGCGCAAGGCCAGAAATTCCTCGTAATCCGCTTCTTGGCTCATCCCGCAAATGGCTGCGGGTGCACCCTCGCAGTGCGCGGGCCCCCTCCCACGAGCTCCCTTGATTTTTTGAGCCTTCCACGGCTGTGGTGCTGGAACCCTAGGCCCTCAAAAAGCCCCCAAACCGCTGTTGAATTGCTTGCCAGGCTCAACACGCACGAGGCTCGGGCTCTGTGGTTCCCTGACCTTGGGGCATTCTGCTCGGCTCTGCAGGGCAGGTCCCAGCATCTGTTGTCTGTGTTAGGCACTGAACAGCTGAGACCTTTGATGCGGGCAGGCCTTCATCATCTTGCGAACATTAATTTGCTGGCGAGCGGGGGTTTGCAATGTTCAAGTTGGAGCAGCTAGTTCAGCCAGTCGACTATCCTGCCGGGCTCGTCTCTAGATGTCTGGAACCTTCAAGGAGACCAATGGCCCACACTGTCACCAGACTGTGCTGACCAGCTGAGAGTCCTTCTTCTGAGATGCTGGCCCAACTGTCCGTTGGAGTTGTTCCCGCAGGTCATAAGGCGGGTCTTGGCTAAAGTCGACCTGCGTTGAGAAACACGGGAATGCCCGTATGAATGAACAAAATAAACATGCGCTGTGCTTCGAAGGCGGCAATCAATTCCCACTGAGATCTCCGCCCTTGAGACGGCCTCGGCAGCCATGCGATGCCAGCCATATCGGTGGATCGGGGTGCTTCGGGGCCGCATAGGAAAAGCTGAGGGTTGAGCTCCAGGTTTTCCAGCACGGCAGAATGGTTATTCCCACAAGCGACTTCGATAAAGTGACGAGACCTGAGCTGAAAATAAACTTGGGCCCTCTTCGTTGGGGCTCGGTTTCGGTTTCGGCGATGGTCAGGAAAGCCAGGACGCAGGAGCCCCTACAGTGGTGCTCTGAGTTTTTGTATACTCGTTGTGCGGCCACCTACAGCGTTCAGTGTTTTTTTCTCTTTGCTATTGCTTCCAGGTTCCTGGTCCAGCTAGTGGTGGCAGAGGTTATTTGCTCGGGCTTCGGTGTTTACTAGAGCAGGGTCTTGGACTGATTACAAGCTTGATGATGCCGGGCCACACTCACGTGGAAGGTACCTGAGTAATGCTTCAGGGTTTCGGCACGACTTCTCTGCAGGGGCCGCTTCACGGGCTTACAAGTTTGCCGGTTAGGATTGGGGTTAAAGATGGGTTTGGGTTTGACTGTGCGGTTCCATAATGCGCAGTAACATCATTCCTAACTTCTTTCTACCTTCGTTATGGATTGCAAGTGGCATCGCACGGTTGTGGTGGTCACTCTACAACTGTTGCGTAGTACCTGGCCGGGCTGACTAGACGCAGCCCGGATCCCTCCCGCCGTCTATCCAACACTCCAGGAAAGTGAAGGCCAAGCGAGGGCGAGGTTGCGGGGTTGAGTCCACCGCTGCACCAGATTGCGCAAAAGGAACTACCCTTTAAAGTTTCCCAAATCGACATCTGCTTTCTCACTCGGTGCGCAACCAGACATCGAGGGAGTCTGATAAAGAGCCAAGTAAAGCCCCTGCAGCCCCATCTGCTGCCGGTCAGTCGGGTCTTCGGAGTCTTCGGACCATCCATCCCGCCATGACGCGTCAGCATGCCTATGCGTGTGTCCAAATTTTCCCAGCAGGCAGGATATCACAACACCAGGTAGGCAAAATGCCTGCGCGGACCCGGTCGGCACGGGTACCAACAAGAACAGGAAGGGGGGAGTGCCAAATTACTCGTGACATCGTACTTTGGTACCCTGTGTCAGCCAACAGTCGAAGCAGGTGATGGACCTTAGCGCAACTCGTGCAGACTGCTAAGTAGCAAAGACATGTCAATCGCAAACTCTTTGCTTTTGGCCAGAGCTCCCAAACACACCCTCATTGGAGGGGAAAAGCTTTCACGCAGCATCGAAAAGCGTCCCAAACGCAGGCTGAGTGAATTCCTGCTTGCATGTTTTCATCAATGTCGCCGAGCTCAACGGCTAGGCGGGCTCATCTCAATGGGCAGAGACAACCCTACTGACCTTCCTTGACCTACAAACATGAGCAGGAAGGATCAATGCAAGTAACTGGTTCGAGTATCCAAAGTTAGTAAGATGCCACCCTGCGACATCTTCCAACTGCCACAGACCCATTGATGACCCCCCCGCAGAAAGAGCCATGCTGCGCGTGTCAAAGCCAAAAAATGCAGAAGCATCACGGCACTCCAACAACCCTTAGCTTCCGCACACGCATCCCTCCTGAAAGGGTGCGCAGGATGTGTCACATGGCATAAAAAACCTGACAAAATGGCAAGCTTCCAACATGCTCCCCTACATGCCTCGGTCAGTTGGGAGAGGGGGGGAACCGAAAGGAGGGAGAGACGGGGCGAGGAAAGGAAAGCCGCACAATTTCGTCGCAGTCGTCGACACTCGGCTTGGGTCCTGGTCAAAAGCAAGGATAGGGCACAGTCCGTCGTAGAAGCGGCAGTTGTTGGTTGTCGTCGTCTCTCGGTTGTGATCGCGGGAAGCGAATCTTTTTTTGCAGTCACCGGCTGGGATTTTCAGTACCACGACTCGAAGACTTCACAGCTTTCGATGCAAGACAAGCAAGCAGGTTTAGAGGGTGGGGACGAAAGCTCGGATGTGGCAACAGCCTTGCTGCTGCCGCCAATGCAAAGGCTTTCACTGCCACACTTTTCGAAGTCGGCCAGCATCTGGTCGAACTAACTGGCAACTCACTAGCTTTAGACAGAATCAACGAGACAATCACGCTCACAGCACTGGGGCTTTGAACATGGACACGTCAACAGACAGCGAATTGGCACAATCATTGCATATGAAAGCTGTGGAATCAGTGAAAAGCATCCAACACAAAAAGGATCATCGAGAAGGTCAACTCGACAGAGAAGGCCGTCGTGGATTTGACACCGCTTCAAGCAAGTACCAGCAATACACAAAGGAGGAGAATGCACTATGTCACAAGCAAAATCTGATGCAGGTATGTGGTCAAGGTGGCGATGAATGCAACCCTCACCCCCATTATCACAATTTTGCGGGAATGACACAAGTTCGAGACCACTCTGGCTGAGGTCGTTGCGAGTGCGGCTTCTTCTTTTGAGAACTTTCAGCCTCCTCGAACCTTATGGACATGGGCATGTCAGCTGCACGGATGTTGTCGTGCATTAAAGTGTTCGCTTGACCCCAGGCCACAGTTCCGGCTGAAAGCCACTCTCGATCTGCGTACTGTGCCTCATCAAACCAAGCGGCACTCGCATCGTGCACGGCCAGTGGATGCCATTGATCTCGGGAACACTTGTTCTGTATTTTGGAAGTCAGGGTGCGACGCAAAGAATGTCACAGGGTCGGTGCGGAAACAATGCCCCGGCAACCCTGCCTGGTCAGCCTTGGATGCAGAAAACCTGTCGCCCAGCGCTTTCCTGCATGAAAGGCAAGTCGACAGCCTGCGGGAAAAATGTCTCCCGCTGGCCTCATTCCGAGGGCATTGTAGCGATTGTTGCCCCAACCTGAAACTCAAATCTGCTGCATGAATGCAGGCATATATCAATAGTATGCACACTGGGCTTCGCAGGCCCTATGTCGAGATTGCCTTTGCACCTACACCGTATGGTGATGATGATGATGAAGAAGAAGATGGGACTGGTGGTCCTGATGATACGATTCGGGCCCTGCTCCTTTAGGCTTAGGAATCTGACCTCCCCCTAGCAATGAGCCGCGTACCGTGGTTCTGAATAAGCGGAGGAGCTTCGACGCTAATGACTCATGACTAATATCGGCTCGGCTTGAAAATCGACGAAATGGCCTGTTGCCCTTTTCGCCACTGTTGAAGCTGCTTGGTCAGCTGGAGAAGACTTGCCTACAAGGGCCTGGGGAAGCCTTGGGACTGCCGTGATTTCGCAAGGCTCGCTAACTGGAAGCCCTCCTGATGTGGGGTTACGCCGTGTTAATGCACAACCTCCAAGAGGCAAACTCTGGGTCACCGAACCCACGAGCTTGGTTCCCTCCTCCTCCGCGGCGCGTACCAGCACGACCGTGTGCCTTGGCTTGGCAGGTCGACTTGTGATAGTGGCAATGGAAACGTCAAGGACCAGCAGGAATTCCACTGAGGCCTGCACGCATTGCCACAAGAGACCTTCCGTGGCTCAGCCTGCAGGGTCCATGAGACGGACAGGGACCAGCTAACATTAGGCACCTGGTGCTCTTCAATGAGTCACCACAGAATGTAGAGAATGCCTTTTCATTGCTGTCCGTTTGGCACATAGCCTCTGTGCGCACGTCACATTAACCAACATGGTGCCGATCCTAAACCGTCGGCCCCTTGGCCCTTGTCTGGACATTTGGGCCTTAGGGTTCCGGCACGGCAGCTGGCCCAAACATCCAGCTCCAGAGTAGATCCCAGGCACCCCGACGAAACTCAACTCAAATCGATTCAAGCCGAACGAAGGACAAAGCTGTCTCCGCTTGTCTGCTCATTGCGAGGTCGACTTCGCCTCAGGCGTTCCGGCTGATCAGGCTAGTGGGGCGTATGGGATCTCTGGCGTGCCCAGAAGCAGCTCCCCTTATTGTGACGAGGGTCGGTGTCCAAGCTCGGAAGTATGCAAGTCAGAAAGGCAGCCGCCTTTTCGTCCACATCCGCCTGAGTGCACAGTGCTCATCAAACAGTCGTGCTGCTGTGGCCAAAGAGATGCTGAAGCAGTGCCATCTGTTGACACCTGGGTGGTTCGTTCAACTGCACATGTTAGCAATCTGAAACCCCATCGTGGCGTTGTGCCATCAGCTCACCATGCTCCAGATCTTCGGTTCCGCTGCGCAGGTTCAGCTTCACATGTTAGCAGGCAATCTGAAACCCTGTCGTGTTGGGAAGAAGTGGGTCGACTGCAAGCGTTGAACTTTCACGCCACGCTTGAAGGGCGACATCTCAAAAGTGCAATCTTTGTTGTGCTTATGCTGCCTTTTCGTCAGCCCATGTTACATCCAACTATGTGGGCCGGCATCCCGTGATAGCATGTGGGCCCGCATCCCGTGATATTTGTTCACCAAGGAGCCAGGACGAGCTGTGAACATGCCGTAAGAATAGGAAACGGTGGCACGGGCACGCCTAGCAAATTGCAAACTATTTAATAATTACGGAAATGCAAAGGCTCAAGCCTCCTCGCGTCGCCCCAATTATCATCAAATATTGCATGCTAGGTCCTAGGTTTTTCCGCCCACCCGCACTGCGAACCAAGCCATGAGACCACACTAGTGAAAACTGTTGCTACAATACTTCGACGGCGACGACGACTTTGACGACTACTACGACCACGACTCCGCTGCCGCTATCGCCATGGTTACGGCTTCGGCTACGGCTGCTGCTGGCTGCTGCTACGACTGCTACTACGACTGCTTCTACTGCTACAGAAGCTATTGCAGCTGCTTCCGCTAGCTGCTCCTGCTACTTTACAGCGCAGCTCCTACTTCTACACCACCGGCCCCACCACCACCACCACCACCACCACCACCACAGATTAAGCCTACTAAGCATGCTCAAGCAGCATGGCATGGCATGCATGGCTCTCAGCCGGCCGACACAATTTCTTTCCTCAGTGAGTGTTGTGTACGGCTTCCAGACCGGGCGAATGATGAATGTCCTGATCCTCACTCAGAATGAAGAAACTCAAAAATCACAAACAAACACCCGCTACTCGGAAAGCCTCATACATGCTGTGCTTTGGACATGCTCAATCAAAGCGACCGGTTCCGATATCGAAGGTGGCATTGAAGCCAGCCAGTCACCCGTACAATCCACCTGTGACAAAGGCATCAAGTCAAGTTGGCCCATCCAACCTAATTAATTAACCTAATCTCTCTGGCTGCCGGCTGGGGGGTCCGAGAAGCGTCCGCAACAACCTTACAGCGCCTTACAATCTTCCTTTCCTGCGGCTCAGGCACACCCAGCGATTCCAAGCAGTCTCGCACCTCCGCCTCGGCCGCCTGTGCAGCCTCTCCAAGACCATAAAATTCCAAATGGTCCTCAGAAAGAAAGCTGCGGCAGCTCTACTGAGACTCTACTGGAGACTTGCCCCTGAACATCGCAGCCCTCCTGCCAGACAAGCTTGCCCTGTGTCGCAGTGGCCGGAGAAGTGCTGCGGGAACAGACGTGCCCTCGTGGTAGAGGAGCCGGGCACCCAGACTGGAATGCCTCTGCCCCGCGTCAGCAAGTGCCACGCAGGCCATGTTTCTGCTGCCCAGGCCCAAACCTGGGCTCGCCGCCCCGCCTCCAAGTGCATCCGCGCATCACCGGGCCGCTCGAAAGCAATGACCTTCACCGTTACGATGCAGCCAAACAGCTCGCCGACCTCCACCTCGAGAAAACGCTAGCGATGCTTGCAGCATGCCCAGATATGCCCAGATATGCCCAGTATGCAGTCGACACTGGAAGAAGCCCAGATGCGTCAAAGGTCTCGCAAACCTGGCGTTTCGTCAAGGAACTCTGCGGCTCTCGTTTGACTCTCATTTGACCCCTATACGGTGCCTTGACGGAGCAAGCACCGATCCCATGAACTGGAATGCCGATACGGAGTCGGAGAGAACCCAGCAGAGTCTCCTGACAGCCAGCAAAAAAACGGGACACGCTTAGGGATACCCAGGAGCCCACATGAAAAACATGCTGACTTCCTACCGCTCCACCGAATGCGAAGCATGTTGGCTCGCCGCGTTGGCTAGAAAACCTTACACCTTGATTCCTTGATCATGTCCCTCGTTTCCTCACTTAGCTTACATACACGTACGTTGCCGATTTCTGTGTTTCTGCTTCGTTTGTAGTAGCTTCGCCGGATGCAATTCATCCGAAACCTTCGCTGGTTTCCATGGCCTGCCGAACAGCGCCCAGCAGCGGCAACGAGATCTCTCCGTGACCGCCCTCTGGAGACATCTGGAAAAGTCCCATGCCAAGAACCTCCTGGAGCATCTGAAGGCAGGATACAGAGGTTAACCTCATGCTACCGAAAGAGTTGTGCAGATGGCTCTCCAAGATTTATGGCCTGAGAGGCTGAAAGGGTTTCGCCCAGCAAGGCCGCACGTAGCACAACAGGTGTGACAGCCCGCAGCTCCATCACGAAGACAGACCATGCGGGGCAACAGAATCGGTGAGCCACCAGACGGCCCAACTCCCAGTGCATACGCGCCAGAGCCTGCAAGTACTGCTTCCAGTAACGTCTACGGCTCTCCTTCTCCTCAGAAGCCAAAGAATTGAAGTTCTCCAAGGTGTTGAGCTCCGCCCGGCCCCAATCGAAAACCTTCACCGCCACCCGCGGTGGCGGTCCCAAGCAACGGCTGCTGCCAACCTCCATGGCCAAAGCGACAGAGGAGCCGATCCATTGCTGTGGAACCTCCAAACCAAGCACAGCGGTGAGCAAGAGCTGCGTCTGCTTGAAAGTGGCCAAAGCCGCCTTCTGGGCATGTAGCTCTGCGCCAGCTCCTAGATCTGACACGTCCAGCCATGACTCCAGGAAGTCAGCTGCGCGGAGCCTTTGCAAGGTGAAACGCCGTATGACCTTCGGTGAAATGTACTTGGCGGTGGCCGTGCTCTTGGCCTGGAGTACCTCCAAAATCCTCTTCTCGAGAGACTGTGGAGGTAGCTCCATGCCCTCGAGGCGGAAGCCCTCCACAGCGGAGTTCGTTCGCTGGTCCACGCATGCATTCTTCCATGCATTCAATCGGCTTTTTCCCTTCCAGCCTGCCACGGATGTCTCGGCCCCGAGCTTCACATCCAGGAGCCGCATACGCTCAAAACCATGCCGTAAGTTCTCTAGGAGCAACAGTAACCGCTTGGTCCGCAGATGCGATTTGCCACCCAAACACTCCTCAGCTCAGATCTTGTCAACTTGCAGGACAAACCTGCTCTCTTGGGCCAAGAGACCAAGCGCACGATGCCAGGGCAAGCCATGGCCATGCGGCCGAAAGCCGCCCAGCTCCCGCCTTCTTTCACGGCCTTTCCGCGAATGCAGCTTCTCTCATCAGCTACGCCTTTTCAAAAGAAGTATCCAATCAACCAGTGATACTTGATAAAGGGCTTTGGGCGTTTTGATGCCATCTTCTGCCAGCAATGTTTGGCATTTACTCGACATCCACATCCAGACTCTTAGTGGGCCCCAATCGACAAGCTTGGTCTACACAACAGGCGAAAACTTCGTCCTCTCGAAGCCGGGCATAGAAGTCTAGCTCGTCGCCTTGGCGGCAAAGCTTGGGATCAGTATTTGGAGCCAAAACAAACCGATGCATGGCAGGTTTCTCAGCTCCTGGCTGGCATGCGCAACATCCTTGCCGATGAAGAAATCACGGGGAAGGCCTTCTGGCTGCTTCCCACGTCGATACAGCAGCGCATAAAATGCCGCAGTACCACCTGCATAAACAGCCAAACAGATGATCAATATGCCTTCTTCTGGAAACGGTTCCTTCGCAGATTGTTGCTTTCGTTTCGCGGGGCTTTCGTCCTCCCTTTCGTGCGACATGGCAGCAGCAGCAGCAGCAGCAGGGGGGAGTAGTAGTGGTGGTAGTAGTAGTACTACTACTACTACTACTACTACTACTACTAGTACTACTAGTACTAGTAGTACTAGTAGTGACGGAAGCGTAAAACGTACGCGACCTTTGACGCTAACAAACAAGGGAACCAGGAACAAGGCCGGGTTAGACTTAGTCGACGTACCCAGAAAGCACCGCAGCAGAAGACAGTTGGAG